TAAACATGGGGAAATGTTCCTTATAATTAATTTTGTTGAGTTATTTCAATAATATTTATAAAATTGAACCAATCAACAGCCCATTTCATTCAAGAAGTGAGGAAGTAGAAAGAAAAATGCAGAAATTCCTTCCTTGTGCTATATGACAGCAGTGGTGCATGATCATATCCCACAGAGTCAGACCTCAAACAAAATGATAAGGATCAGTTAAGCAGTGTGATACTGGTACATGCATTCCGAAATACTACGTTTTATTTGCTGCTGTAAAATTTTGAGGTGTTGATGAATAAGGAATATGAAAAAAAATGTACCATAGTTTTTTATTTCACCAGATTAGAAACTGCTTACTGATGACTTTGGAAGATACTAACTCCTTAAAATGGATTGTCAGAAAAACACCAATGCATGTTCATGTACCTGTAAATCTGTGACCTAGCTCTGCATGAAAAAGAAATAAAAAAAAAAAAAAATTTTTATTTATAAATTAAAGGAACTGCATTATGTGAGTAGGGACACATTTCAAAGATCAAATCTCGATTTTAAATATTTTAAGATTTTGAAAGAATCCTGATACACATGTAATATCTGAATTTTTATACCATCTTTTTGATGTGTAAAGAAATTTTAATATTTTATAGGAGTGTTCCTGTTATTGGTAAAGCACAGGTTGATATAGGAGATAAAGCTGTTTCATCTATACCTGATATTGTCTTTCCAGATATTACCAATTCAGACATACATCATTCTAATTTAAAGATATTAGCAGTTTGTGAGTTATATGTTAACTATAGAACTGCAATGGAACTCATTGCAATATGCTTAAAAATGGCTGAATTTGCTGTTTCCCTCAAACACAGATCAAGATCAAATTAGGGTGCCGTCACTTTACTGTTCTCAAGTTCTCCCTTAAGCTTTAAAAACGGGTAAATTACTGAATTTGCTGTTTCCTCCCTCCAACTTTAATTTGCCTGAACAAATGTTTTCAAAGTTACACACAATGCCATCAAACACAGATCAAGTTTGAATTTGGGTAGCGTCTCTTTCACCTTTCTTGAGTTATGTCCTTTTATGAATGGAAGAAAATGCTAAATTTGCCGTTAGTTTACAATTGGGGGCAACTGTTAACCATGGACACATTCTTCTTTTATTTCTTGAATGATTTATGTAGGGTTATTTTTCCCCTTGCGCCTTTTATTAAAAGAACTGCATTTTTCCTTACCTTAGTGCATAGTATTTATTTTTGTGTGATCTGAAAACGATTGTAGCACATAAACTTACATAACGCTACATGAAATATATGTAACTATTCATTTGGGAACTCACACCCGCACTAGGAATGGGGACTATCTTGCACTTACTTTGTCCTTCCTGTCACTCATTCATCAAAAATAAATATTATTGTTAGCCATGTCTCATGAACTGCTGAGCAGAATGACTTCAAATTTGGTCAGCAGCTTGAAAGTGGCTAATTGTTATATGTGATCACCTTTGGATCTCTCAAAAACCTTCTTTCTGTTTCCACTACTTTACATTGCGAGTATGCTTAGCATAATAACCCATTCAACTATTTGTAAGAGTAGTTTAATGAATTGATATAGTAATATGACAGTTCTTAACCAAAACATGACTAAAGTTTGAAATTTGAAATTGTCCTCACCAGAGAACATAAATTTAAATCCATGTAATAAATATTTATTGCACCGCGGGTAAATTATGACATTGTGATTGGTTTGACGCCGTCACGTGGTGACCCCCTATGGATATGGGGTTAGACACAAACCAGCTTGTTGTAAATACAGCGGGAACGTAACATATTTCATGTATTATAGTGTAAAGTCTTTGTGACGCTACACTTGTTTACTTGGGCATTCTAGATTGATTACAATTTATAACATGTAGAACATTTTCTTCAAGTATTCTCTTCACAACTAGCCCATGCTTGAAGAACCTCTTCAACAGGCCATTATAATCTATGCAATTTTTTTGAAAAAGCAGCATCTGGTCTGTAGCTACAAAATATATCATGAAGACTGAATATTGAAATTTTTCTTGCTGTATGCTTCATGTGTAAGAGGTAAGGGATCACAGCTGAGGAACACAATCTTAAAACAACCTTTTTATTTGATTGTTTTTCTAGGTTAAGAAAGAATTTAAAGCAAAGGAAGACTTGGTTATTTCCGTACAGTATAGTACAAGGTCAAGGAAAAAGAAAGTAATAGGTAAAGAGCAAGTTATATGGCACCTTGATGATAGATTACAGGGCAAAATTTCTGTTCATATCTCATTTACTCTTATTTCAGTGGCAGCCCAAATTTCCCGACTTTCATTCCAATTGTTAATTGTTTCCTGCCTTGAAATTACATGGAATATTTGCCACTGGACATTAAGCAACTAACAATCAATTATTAAAAATGGTCGTTTATAAAAAGAATTATAAAGAAATTAAGGTTTCAACTCATTCAGGCAAAGTTGACCTTAGTGGATTTGGCTATTTTATAGGTCCTTTTCAGTCATATAGCTCTTCAAATGTTTCTGTTCTTATACATCTTTGGCTTTCAAATATTCGACTTTGAGCGTCCTGGATGAAAATCAATCCATAAAAGCGCTTCAGACGAATGAAATTCATACAGTGTAACATAACAAATAACATGTACCTCAAGTACAGAACAATTCAAAATACAACCACCCAAACTTAATGATCATTAATATATCTTACCAGCACAACTTTGGACAGGCTTTGTCTACTTAACATACAAATCAACTGTACCTCAAGTACAGACCAAATCAATCTAGATACAACCGAAACAAATAACAATAATGTCTTTTACCTTCAACTTTCGACAGGCTTTGTCTACTAGAGATACACATCAACTGTATCTCAAGTACAGACCAATTCAATATAAACCACCCAAACCTAATGATCATTAATATATTTTACCAGCACAACTTTGGACAGGCTTTGTCATACAAATCAACTGTACCTCAAGTATAGACCACAAATAACAATAATGTCTTTTACCTTCAACTTTCGACAGGCTTTGTCTACTAGAGGTACAAATCAACTGTACCTCAAGTACAGACCAATTGAATCTACAAACACCGATACCTAAAGAACAATAATGTGTTTTACCATTTTTTACTACATGTTAATTACATATAAATTTAACAGACAGACACTATCCCATTCAAAATATTCACCTATTTAAAATTATATTGCTATCTGGCATATAAACTGATATTTGAAGAAAAAAATGCACACTTAATTTTATTAAATATATACATAATTAAATTTTGTATAATGAATCAATTTTATACAACATAAATACACATTTATATACAATGTATTGTTTAAAGACAGAAATCACTGAAATTTGTAATTTAATTTGAATACAAGTAGATGAACAATATATCACATAAATGGAGAGGGTATAATAAGACCACTTTTGGCCAAATGAATTAGAATAATACAAAGTATTTTAAACCATTAAATAACGTCCTTCAGATATTTAAACATACAGAAATAAGAAGATGTGGTATTATTGCAAATGATCCAACAGGGACCAGATACAAAATGACATAGGTGTAAGCAGTTTGTCATCATAAAGCTTTCAACAATGAGCAAAACCCTTACTGCATAGCAAACTACAGGCCCAAGAACACAGTTATTTCTTAGTGCACTTCTTAGACAATAAATGGAAATTAAAAAAATCCAACCTGCACTTTCTCAATAATATTTTTACAGTGTGGTGTACTACTTTTGGGACAAATTATATCAATATTATAGAAAACTTCTTCAGCTCTAACTCAAAATATGGATAATTTTATGTTAAGGGGGTCTTGAATTCTTTTGACAGCTTCCGAAATACTAATTTTTAACCTTTTTTAGCTGGACCAAAATCACTACTTTACTTTAAAATTATGACCCAAACTTTTTTTACAGTGTAGTTTCATCCCCCTACTTAATATTTCAGGCATAAAACATGAAGAAATAAATTTGGAAAGTGCATAAAAATAATGGAAAGTAACACACTGTCCACACTAGGGACTATATTTGTAGACACCAAAATCAAGGGACGATAACTGTGTTCCCGGACCTATAACAGTACACACGCTGAAGTGTCTTGCCTTCTTTACTGACCATTGATTTTATGTTGAAAGTCTAAAAAGATAAAGGTTTTACTACAATAGTATCACATAAACTTCACATTTTTCAAGATCTATGACAATGAGGTCAAGGTTAGATAAATCCTGTCAGACAGACATGTTCACCGTGCAATTATTCCATACACCAAATATTGTTGACATGTTGCTTAATATGGTAATTTGAACAGATCAAAATACAAAAACTTAACATTACTGTGTGTTTGTTTATTCTACATTGGATAGAGGTCCAGGGGGAGGGTTGACATCTCACAAAACATGTTTAACCCCGCCGCATTTTTGCGCCTGTCCCAAGTCAGGAGCATCTGGCCTTTGTTAGTCTTGTATGTTTTTTAATTTAAGTTCATTTATATGTTTTGGAGTTTAGTGTGACGTCCATTTTCATTGAACTAGTACACATTTTGCTTAGGGGCCAGCTGAAGCCCGCCTCCGGGTGCGGGATTTTCTCGCGGAGTTGAAGACCCATTGGTGGCCGTCATCTGTTTTCTGCTGTTTGCTCGGGTTGTTGTCTCTTTGACACATTCCCCATTTCCATTCTCAATTTTATTGACCAAATGAACCATAAAAAATGAGGTCAAGGTCCGATGATACCAGCTAAAATGACCTGTGCACCTTACAATCATTCCATACACCAAATATAGTTGACATATTGCTTAAATTACTTCAAAACAGACCAAAACACTTGACATTGACCAATGAACCAAGAAAATAAGGTCAAGGTCAGGTGAAAGCTGCCAGACTGACATGTACCCTTAAAATCATTCCATGCACCACATATACTTGACCTAATCATGTAACTTTAACCTTGATCACTGATCCATGAAATGAAATCAAGGTCAGGTGAACCCCGTCTGACAAACATGTAGACCTTGCAAGGAACCCATACAACAAATATAGTTATCCTAGTACTCATATAATGAGTGAGAAATTCAATAACAAATAAATGAGGAATGTGTCCATGGGACACAGATGATGCCCCCGCTTGCATATAACGTTATAAAGGGACACAACTCAAGAAGGGTAAAAGTGACGCTACCCAAATTTGTACTTGATCTGAGTTTTGTGGTAAAAAAAAAGTTTTATTTTTATTCAACCAATTGTCAAGGACAATGAACATATGACAGACAGAAACTTCTTAACATATGGAATCTTCATACAAGGTATGATGTATCCAGGTCTTCTACCTTCAGATATAAAAAGCTTTATACAAATAGTTTACGACGCAGTTGCATTGTTATCCCTATGTCTTGCATGCTGTGACTTTTGTTGCAGGTGAGACAAAAAAGTAACTGACATGATAAAACATAACAAAAATTCAAACAAGACAACGAACAGCCTAACTCATGTGTAAAACAACAGAAAAAACAAAAATTGATATACAGTAACAAACAATTAACCACTGAAGTACAGGCTAATGACTTTGGACAAGCACATACAAAAATAAATAATATGTACATAACATGAACTGATAAATTTAATATTTTTATGCAATATTAGTGCCCTTAAATGGATTTTATCATATTATGTCTTAGTAAAAACTCATCATAGATACAGATAAAACTCATCCTGAAACATGCACATCAATAATCTAATTTGTTCATACTTTTTAAATCATAACAAAATATCTTCCAAATATAATGAATAACTTTATAATTTACAAAATACTCACAAAACAATTATAGGCCAAGCAGTGTGTATTCTAAATCAACAGAAAAAACATTATATACAAATTATCTGCTATTGACAATAATTTACCCGTAGCCTTTCTTAAAATTATGTATTGTAATGATTAACAAATCCATTTGTACATGTTTACTATCAAAACATGTGCATAATCTGGATAACAAATATGTATTTAATAAATAAATGTGTATATGAACCTTCTAGAATAATAAAAATCTACTAATAAGGTTAAGGTAAAATGCTTTTAAAATCAACAAAAATTATTTAATATGGTCAAAATGCAATAACATAACATTAAGGGTTCCATTTTTACTGCACCAGATATGCATTAACTAATGTCTCTTTAGTGATGCAATCTAATCTAACAAAAAATGTGTTCAAAACAAAACACAAGTAGTTGCAATTTGTTCACCAAATAAAAACAGAATATTTTGAAACTTTTAAAACAACACCAATTTTATCTCTAACCAATTTAATATGCAAAATAATTAAGTGTTGCATTAAGATTTATGGTGTATTGATATGCACAACGTACTCCTACAGACAAGATTCTTCCTTATTTCACATATAAAATTAAATAGGAGGCACAAATTGCAATTCAGATTATATCAAAATTTAGTTAAAGCCTAAATGACTTACTGGTAAACATTAGCAGATATACAACTGTTTTATAAAAAGCAAAGTAAGAGAAAAACTTGATTTAAGCTCAATAGAACTGTCAAATCTTAGTCAAAACCCTAATTAAGCAAATTTTTTAAACAGTTTTCAAGATTAAGGCAAAAGACACAAGAAATTGGTAAAAATTGTCAATTACGGGCAACTGAAAATTTGGGGGGTGGGGGGTGGATGGAGGAGGGATGGAAAGAAGATAAATCTTGTTATTCTAGACATTTTTGCCCTGCTTTTATTTTCAAGAAATTAGACAATTACTTACAATTTATTCGAAACCTGATTAAAAGGAAGGATAGGTGCAAATACTTTGTCAAAAAGGCTGTATGTACAACTGATGAACTTAAAAAATTTATATAAGTTGATGTGAAACAATTAAAAAATTAATTAATGCTAAAATCAAGTGAATTTCAGCTTACATTAATTTCTTTTGTGAAGACCATTTACAATTACAATTTCATATGAAAGCTAATTTCATATCAGATTTAAATAACTCAAATTGGTAAAACATGGTGGATAAATAAATAAATATTTACATATATAAACAAATACTGTTTAGGGAGCAAGATAAAATTCATACATGTCTGATGTTGCTCTTTTTCCTGTCAAAAATAATACAAAAATTCATCAAAATATCAAAATCAACATAAAAAAAATTAGGGTTAGTCAGGAAACCCTAAGCCTTAAACAACAAATATATTTATTGCCCTAAGCTATAAGCTTTATTTCAACAAAGGTTTTAATAAATAATAGCTGAAAGTATGATTTTAGTTTACTCACAAAAGGACACCTTACTCTAAGAATGGTTTTACTGCTAGATGGGAAAAGTCAATGGATTGCAATATTTCTATACCCAAGTCAACCCTAAATGTTATCAATCACTCTATATATGTGCATTGATGAACATAGAAGCAGGTTAAAAGCAACAAATTAATACGAATCATATCTTGCAAATATGGTATTTGAAAATATCAATTGAAACTGGCCCTGTTTATAGAAACTGAGCTACTTATACAAAAATATAAAAGCAATCAAAACAAACTTAAAATATGGTAGATACTGCTTAGTCTACATTCTCTATCTGCTGTTCTTTTCTGCTGATGCAACATGGAGAAAACTGAACAAATCCAAGTGTAAGTAATGGTGTTATTAATTCTTTTCTATCTGCAGCCTTTAAGTAATTATATGGTCTGCTATAGTACACAACAGGACTGTTAACACACTGGTTCCCGGTCATTATTTCTTCAAACTGTACAGTGTTACATTGGAAATAGGAAAATGTTACCTGCATAAAAAAAAATCAAAATGAATGGCAACTTCAATTTACAAATCTGAAATAAATCATAAACATCTTAACTGAACAAAATTGCAGATACCTCAATTTGTTCATGCTTTATATTATACAGTAGTTTAAGTTAAAAATAAAAGTAAATTAGATAATCAAACTTAACCAAAAAAGTTTTTGAAACAAAAGAAATTACTAAATAGATTCATCTAAAAAAAGTTTCTCCTTGTTATGCAAACCTTGATCCTAAATTTAATTGTTGATTGATGCTTTAGGGGAATTTTCAAATAGAGGTATATCATTTTTTGAGACAAAAATTGGTGTCATTCTCATTGGAAAAAATACATTTCCTGTATTTAAATATACATGTTCAAAAAAATTGTACGGTTAAATAATAATATAATTGGGAATAAACAAATACATTTCTTGCAGAAAATGCTCTAGTTAGAGTTAAGTCATTTTGCTAACTGTTTAACGCAAATTATACCGGTAATTGTAATTTCAATAAATGACTTCATGCAGATTTTATTTTTCCTCTTTTCTTTGAAAAAACAGACGTCTTATAAATCCTTAAATATTCACCTTTGACACATAATAAACAGAATGATTTCATATAGTGTAGATCAAACGTAATTATAGGTAAATTACTGTAAACCAACTAATTGTTGCGAGCGATCTATTTTCCCGGATAGAAAAATAACGCGAATATAAATCGTTAGAAAACTTGTAAAACTTTGATCTTATCTTATTTTAATACATGAAGTAAATTTGAAAATCGCGAAATTTAAACAGCCGCAAAGTGGTCTAAAAAGTTTACTTAAGTGTTGTTGTCATTTTAGTGGTATTTAATTTTTGACAACCCTTCATACCATCTGGTATCAACTCAAGGGAACTCTACCAGCACAAAACATAGGAGGCATTGGTTCAGCAGCTCTTTATTTATTTTCGATATTCTGAACCCCTGCATTCCTGGATCCGCCAATACCACACAGCGCCGACCCCATGGCCATCTCTACACTGAGCAAGAACGAAGAATTCCAAGAAGCCAAAAATCAACTGATACCATCAATTACTGCCGAAAAACCACCAAACAAAAGGAAAATTGTATGAAGAACAAACAGAGGATAAAATTGAGAATGGAAATGGGGAATGTGTCAAAAAGACAACAACCCGAGCAAATAGCAAAAAACAGCCAAAGGCAACCAATGACATTGGTTACTTTTTGTCATCTTACACATATTTTGACTTTGGTTACCTCTGGTCATCTTACACAGATATTGACGATGGTAACATCTGGTCACCTTACGTCAATATTGATTTTGGTTACCTCTGGTCACCTTGCACATATATTAAATATAGTTACCTTTTAACTTCATAGTACTATTTTACTACACCATGAAAACCAATTATACCATGCATTTTTCGATATATAAAATTGAGAATGGAAATGGGGAATGTGTCAAAGAGACAACAACCCGAGCAAATAGCAAAAAACAGCCAAAGGCCACCAATGGGTTTTCAACTCAGCGAGAAAATCCCGCACCAAGAGAAGGGCTTCAGCTGGCCCCTTAACAAAAATGTGTACTAGTTCAGTGAAAATGGACGTCATACTAAACTCAAAAACATATAATTGAACTAAAATTAAAAATCATACAAGGCTAACAAAGGCCAGAGGATCCTGACTTGGGACAGGCACAAAAATGCGGTGGGGTTAAACATGTTTTATGAGATAACATACTTACAACAGGGCTGCAAATAAATCAAGATGTATATGTACCATCGTTCCGTGCCATCAGAAAATTGAATGTAAAATTGTTTACGTGTGAAACCATACAAAGGATCTTTCAGGAGCAAATGGAGATGACACAACAAAGCCAAGATAGATTTCCAGGAGTATTTAGAACCTACCGAAATTGAACTTTAAAGAATTAAGATGCAAACAACATAAATCCATCCCAACATGATTTCCAGTTAAACCTACATTGCAAGAAATTTTGCAACGGTGAACTACTTAACGGCATTCCAGACATGATTGGAAGTAGTACCTCTGGCCACTTACTATCAGAACAGTTTACAACATTTTTTTTAAGATAAAGAAGATTACAACAATAATAGATTAACTCTGAATTTAGTAACTTAATTTGCATTGTACTATTTTTGATTCATATTCTGTTCAACATTACATAATTACATATAGTATCCTATAGCAACGTCAACAATAGATAATTATGACATCACATACTAGATACCATTTTTTTGTACTTCAGGGGTTCTAATTTTTTATACTTTGTCCTGAAGACGCCGATCTAATTGGTGAAACATGTCGACCAATAAAAGATGCAGTTTTCTTAAGTGTTGCTATTCTGTACATGTACAAAATGTCAAACAACTAACATGCTATTCAGGTCAAGAATTGCATGTACAGTTGTGTAATGAATTGTGTAAGAAAATGTCTGTTCAATGAAGCAATACAAGGGTATGGTATTAGCTGTGGTCAATTCAGACTAAAATTGAACTGTGCAGGATGTATAAATTCATGGAAATTTAGTCATGTTTAGTCAAAATGGGGACATTAAATCTGATGACTCATGGAAAGATGTTTCTGCTCTCTTTGCGTTTTAAGAACCCTTGCTACAACTTTTTGGGGGTCTACAGGTGGCCTGTTGCAAGGCAAAATTTCTGTCCCTATCCAATTTACCCTAGATTTCCAGAGGCATTTAAAATCCCTCACCCAAATTCATTCTGGTCAACCCCCTATTACAGGACCTACTGATTGTATTAATTGTAAATTTGTCTTGTCCTCAACATGCATGAAATATTTGGCACTGGATGTAAAGCAATCAACAATCAATCAATCAAGCTTTGTCATTAGATAATAAACAAGCATTCTGTGAGTATTGCATGGCAATACATAGTCCCCTACCGGTTACAAATTCATTGCATTGGAACAAAATTCTAACTTGATCTATAACTTGTCATGGTGTAAACTATATAACAAATATCAAGTCAATATCTTCAAGCAGGATGAAAAAAAGTGTTGAAAACTGATTATTTAAGTGAATTTTCTAAGTCCAAGGACCAAAACTCTGCACAAAATCATCAGACCTGAACAAAAATCAAACTTGATCTGTTACTTGTTTTGATAAAACAATACGTCAAATATCAAGTCAATATCTTCAAGCATGCCGGAAAAAAGTGCGGAAAACTGATTATTTGAGTGAATTTTCTAAGTCCAAGAACCATAACTCTGCACAAAATCATCAGACGGGAACAAAATTCAAACTTGAACTGTAACTTGTCATGATAAAACTACATACCAGTTATCAAATCAATATCTTCAAGAATGACAAAAAAAAGTGTGAAAAACTGATTATTTTAGTGAATTTTCTGAGTCAAAGGACCATAACTCTGCACAAAATCATCAGACCGGAACAAATTCCAAATTGATCTGTTACTTGTCATGATTAAACAATACACCAAATATTAAATCAATATCTTCAAGCATGAAGAAATAAATTGCTTTGCCGAGCGCAGCTGGATACGACCGCAGAGGTCCAACCCTGAACAGTTGGGGCAAAAATTGACACAATATTCGCTCTTAATACAGGTCTGAATTTGGATTGTAATTAAATATTTGACAAATCTTTTGCGGTCGTATAAAAAGGTGTGGAACACTGATTTGCTGGACTGACGGATTGACAGACAGATAGACAGACAGACAAGCAGACAGAAAGACAGACAGACGGACTGAGTGCACACCTAAAGTCCCCTTCGACTTCGTCGGTAGGGGACTAATAAAAGATCAATGCTTACATGTGTCTTCTGTACAATGATACCTAATAGACCATTCTTCTGTGATAAAGGGTAATGCAATAATAGCTCTCCTCCATGCTGACCCTGTAATCTATCATCAAGGTGCCATATAACTTGCTCTTTACCTATTACTTTCTTTTTCCCTGACCTTGTACTATACTGTAAGGAAATAACCAAGTCTTCCTTTGCTTTAAATTCTTTCTTAACCTAGAAAAACAATCAAATAAAAAGGTTGTTTTAAGATTGTGTTCCTCAGCTGTGATCCCTTACCTCTTACACATGAAGCATACAGCAAGAAAAATTTCAATATTCAGTCTTCATGATATATTTTGTAGCTACAGACCAGATGCTGCTTTTTCAAAAAATTTGCATAGATTATAATGGCCTGTTGAAGAGGTTCTTCAAGCATGGGCTAGTTGTGAAGAGAATACTTGAAGAAAATGTTCTACATGTTATAAATTGTAATCAATCTAGAATGCCCAAGTAAACAAGTGTAGCGTCACAAAGACTTTACACTATAATACATGAAATATGTTACGTTCCCGCTGTATTTACAACAAGCTGGTTTGTGTCTAACCCCATATCCATAGGGGGTCACCACGTGACGGCGTCAAACCAATCACAATGTCATAATTTACCCGCGGTGCAATAAATATTTATTACATGGATTTAAATTTATGTTCTCTGGTGAGGACAATTTCAAATTTCAAACTTTAGTCATGTTTTGGTTAAGAACTGTCATATTACTATATCAATTCATTAAACTACTCTTACAAATAGTTGAATGGGTTATTATGCTAAGCATACTCGCAATGTAAAGTAGTGGAAACAGAAAGAAGGTTTTTGAGAGATCCAAAGGTGATCACATATAACAATTAGTCACTTTCAAGCTGCTGACCAAATTTGAAGTCATTCTGCTCAGCAGTTCATGAGACATGGCTAACAATAATATTTATTTTTGATGAATGAGTGACAGGAAGGACAAAGTAAGTGCAAGATAGTCCCCATTCCTAGTGCGGGTGTGAGTTCCCAAATGAATAGTTACATATATTTCATGTAACGTTATGTAAGTTTATGTGCTACAATCGTTTTCAGATCACACAAAAATAAATACTATGCACTAAGGTAAGGAAAAATGCAGTTCTTTTAATAAAAGGTGCAAGGGGAAAAATAACCCTACGTAAATCATTCAAGAAATAAAAGAAGAATGTGTCCATGGTTAACAGTTGCCCCCAATTGTAAAATAACGGCAAATTTAGCATTTTCTTCCATTCATAAAAGGACATAACTCAAGAAAGGTGAAAGAGACGCTACCCAAATTCAAACTTGATCTGTGTTTGATGGCATTGTGTGTAACTTTGAAAACATTTGTTCAGGCAAATTAAAGTTGGAGGGAGGAAACAGCAAATTCAGCAATTTACCCGTTTTTAAAGCTTAAGGGAGAACTTGAGAACAGTAAAGTGACGGCACCCTAATTTGATCTTGATCTGTGTTTGAGGGAAACAGCAAATTCAGCCATTTTTAAGCATATTGCAATGAGTTCCATTGCAGTTCTATAGTTAACATATACCTCACAAACTGCTAATATCTTTAAATTAGAATGATGTATGTCTGAATTGGTAATATCTGGAAAGACAATATCAGGTATAGATGAAACAGCTTTATCTCCTATATCAACCTGTGCTTTACCAATAACAGGAACACTCCTATAAAATATTAAAATTTCTTTACACATCAAAAAGATGGTATAAAAAATCAGATATTACATGTGTATCGGGATTCTTTCAAAATCTTAAAATATTTAAAATCGAGATTTGATCTTTGAAATGTGTCCCTACTCACATAATGCAGTTCCTTCAATTTATAAATAAATTTTTTTTTTTTTTTTTATTTCTTTTTCATGCAGAGCTAGGTCACAGATTTACAGGTACATGAACATGCATTGGTGTTTTTCTGACAATCCATTTTAAGGAGTTAGTATCTTCCAAAGTCATCAGTAAGCAGTTTCTAATCTAGTGAAATAAAAAACACTATCATGGTACATTTTTTTTCATATTCCTTATTCATCAAAACCTCAAAATTTTACAGCAGCAAATAAAACGTAGTATTTCGGAATGCATGTACCAGTATCACACTGCTTAACTGATCCTTATCATTTTGTTTGAGGTCTGACTCTGTGTGATATGATCATGCACCACTGCTGTCATATAGCACAAGGAAGGAATTTCTGCATTTTTCTTTCTACTTCCTCACTTCTTGAATGAAATGGGCTGTTAATTGGTTCAATTTTATAAATATTATTGAAATAACTCAACAAAATTAATTATAAGGAACATTTCCCCATGTTTATACCTTATATTTTAGGTTTGAACAGATTGTTTTTTTACTTCCCTTTTGCAGTCCTTGATGGGATTTGAATGTTACAGGCAATAAAACTGATAATACTAAAGACAAGAGTACACACCCTGAAATGTCTCGCCTGCTTTACTGACCACTGATTTTATGTTAAAATTCTTAAAGATAAAGGTTGTATCACATGAGGTCAATGTTAGATAAGTCCTGTCAGACAGACATGTACACCTAACAATTATTTCATACACCAAATATAGTTGACCTATAGCTATTGCTTATGGTAATTGAAAAACAGACCAAAACACCATGAATTTTTCTAGCATTCCACAGGGTCCGGTATTCGACCCATTCCCAATGGCAATTATCCTACATTTTTCCCAATTTTGGGAGTAAAATTCCCAAACGATCGCAAAATTTATTTTCATCTTTATTATTCATGATAGCGATGTTCATTTTGTTCAACCGCTAGCTTCATGCCAAAAATTGCCAACAAGTAATGAGTAAATCCGAGTAAAATGGTATCTGACTGACAAATACAACACTGAATAAAATGCTTCGCTGGGGCGCAGCTTGATACGACCGCAGAGGTCGAACCCTGAACAGTTGGGGCAAGTATGGACACAACATTCAAGCTTGATACAGTTATTAAATATTTGACACAGCATAGGTTTCTGACACAGAAAGAATGTGGTCTAAGAACTTGAATTTTTTTAATTTACCTATTATGGTCCAATGTCCAAAATCAAAATACATGGTTAGATTCAGCATATCAAAGAACCCCATATATTCAATTTTTGTTAAAATCAAACAAAGTTTAATTTTGGACCCCAATTTGGACCAACTTGAAAACTGGGCCCATAATCAAAAATCTAAATACATGTTTAGATTCAGCATATCAAAGAACCCCATATATTCAATTTTTGTTGAAATCAAACAAAGTTTTAATACTGGTCCCTATCTTAGACCAACTTGAAAACTGGGCCCATAATCAAAAATCTAAACACATGTTTAGATTCAGCATATCAAAGAACCCCAAGAATTCAATTTTTGTTAAAATCAAACTAAGTTTAATTTTGGACCCTTTGGACCTTAATGTAGACCAATTTAAAAAACAGGACCCAAAATTAAAAATCTAAATACACGGTTAGATTTGGAATATCAAAGAACCCCAATAATTCAATTTTAGATGAAATCAAACAAAGTTTAATTTTGGACCCTTTTGACCTCAATATGAACCAATTTGATAACGGGGTCCACAAATAAAAAATCTAAATACATGGTTAGATTCAGCATATCAAAGAACCCCATATATTCAATTTTTGTTGAAATCAAACAAAGTTTAATTTTGGACCCCAATTTGGACCAACTTGAAAACTGGGCCAAAAATCAAAAATCTAAATACATGTTTAGATTCAGCATATCAAAGAACCTCATATATTCAATTTTTGCTAAAATCAAACAAAGTTTAATTTTGGACCCTTTGGACCTTAATGTAGACCAATTTGAAAACTGGACCCAAAATTTAAAATCTAAATACACTGTTAGATTCAGCATAACAAATAAATAAATGTGATCAGAGATTTTACAAATCTAATGCGCCATACTGTGCAATTAAAGATTACTTCTTGAAATTTTTCATTATTTGAAATTTGAAAAAAAAAAAATATTTGAAGAATAATTCTTTTTAATTTTTGAAATCTGAAATGAGAAAAAATTGACCCCCCACAATTTCTTTTTATCCCCCCCCCCCTTTTTTCCCCCAAAAAATTCTTTTCCTCAAGATATGTTCATAATCTCAATTCAAATTTCCAATGGAGTTGGCAACCATAATTACCCATTTAAATTTACCATAGTGCTAACTTAATCTATTTTATAATAGAATTAAAAATATAGTGTCAAATCTTTCATATGGATTTTTTTGTAAAAAAAAAAGATGCAACATTTGCAGATATTTTTACTGGTCTTCCTTTATAAATATGCAATTCTTTAAACATAATTTAAAAACAGTGTAAGGGAAGTAACCAAAACGTTGTATTTGGATTACTTCCCTTACACTGTTTTAAATTATCTTTATTGTTCATTAACCATTACTTTATACATAATTTAAAAGCAGTGTAAGGGAGATAATTTCAATGATGTATTTGATTTATCTCCCTTACACTGCTTTAAATTATGTTTTGTACTAAAGTATTTGTCCATTAACCAGGACAACCTTGTTTTTCCCCCTTTTTTGCCCCTAATTCCTAAACGGTTTGAGCCATAACCCCCCAAAGCAAATCCTAACCATCCCTTTGTGGTATGGAAACTTGTAGTATAATTTCAGAGAGATCCATACACCGTTCTACAGTTATTGTCTGGAAACTAGAAAATGCTTATTTTGGCCCCTTTTTGGCCCCTTATTCCTTAACTGTTGGTACCATAACCCCCAAAATCAATCCCAACCTTCCTTTTGTGGTATTTAACCTTATGGTCAAATTTCAAAAAGATCCATTCACTTAAACTAAAGTTAGAGTGCGAAAACCAATGTGTCTTCGGACGACGACGACGCCAACGTCATACCAATATACGACCACAAAATTTTTTTGCGGTCGTATAAAAACAATGGATGCCATAAACAGGAAATGAAGACAATTACCAATCAAATACAATAAAAAAATAATAGTTCCAGGCAGGTGACAAAATACATCTATGATGATGAAATATAAACTCTAGAATTGAAAACTAAAAGATATATGGAAAAGAAAGATAAAGCAGGAAATATTTTATACAGAAATTCAAAAATACTTTAAGTTCACAAATTTTCATGTCAAAATCCAATAAAATGTGACAGTAATTTTCTTTATCATTAATAAATGTTGATATTACATGTAGATGTTTTTATAGCTAGTGTAAACATATTACTTCAATTCCAAGAGGTAATTTCTTCTCAATTTTGAAGGGCCAGTAAAAATCTGGAAGTTTCTTACTTTATTTTCACAATAAAAGATAAACTTTTAATGAACTAAACACACTAAAACTCAAATCTGGTATATTTGCTGTTTTCCCAATTTCACTGAAAAGCCCGTGAAAAAATTCCCAAAACTGGCCAGGGTCCTTTTTCCCAAAATACCCAGAAAAAACCCTGAACACACAACCCACTGTTGACAAATGAACCATAAAAGTGAGGTCAAGGTCAGATTTTACCTGCCAGACAGACATTAACACCTTATAATGATTCCATATACCAAATATAGTTGACCTACTGCTGATAGTACTTGAAAAAACAAATCAAAACACAAAAACTTTACATTGACCAATGTATCACGACAATGAGGTCAAGGTAAGATAATCCTGCCAGACTGACATGTACTCCTTACAATCATTCCACACACCACATATGGTTGATCTACTGTTTTTAGTATCTGAAAAATGGACCTAATCACATAACTTCAACCTTGAGTACTGATCCATGGAATGAGGTTAAGGTCGTGTGAACTCTGTCTGACTGACATGTAATTGTTGCAAGGAGCCCATATTTACCAAATATAGTTATCGTATTACTCATAATAAGTGAGAAATTCACATGACAATAAAAATATAATTTTTTTTCCAAGTAATCACTGAACCATGAAAATGAGGTCAAGGACAATAAATATATGACAGAAGGAAACTTCACAACATAAGGTATATCCATACATGGTATGAAGCATCCAGGTCTTCTACCTTCTGAAATATAAAGCTTTAATTTTTATACCAATAGTTTACATAACAACAACGCCACTGGATAGTAATTCATGTAATTAGAATTGCACAACAAAACAAGAAATGATTAGTCATATTGAAATGCACATTTCTCCATACAAAAATATTCACAAAGTTAAAAGAGTTTTTCATATTATTTATAAATGTTTTCCTCAAAATGTTTACCGTTTAAGTCAAGTAAAAACGAACACATCTGGAAAGCCAATATTGAACTAAGGCTGTTCTGTGATCTTATTCATTCAATCCTAGCTTACATTCATTAAAAAGATTGCCTCTGGCGGCCCATTTATTTCTGTTTGATTAGAAACAACATAATAATCATGTGAGACACATGAGATAGCATTCCACATACATTTTGTATAATTCCTGCTAAGTGGTTTCAGGGAAGATGAATATGTTAAATGTTTACAGATCAAAGAGGATTTGACTACCATGACTACAACAATGGCTGCCAGGTGACAGCATTAGCTCATATGGCCTTTCAAACCAGATACAATGTAAGATACAAGATTACACCTAAATCCATTTCTTTTAAGCTGTATTAATATGCACTTACAAACTCATTAATCCAAACTGTGCAGCAAATTCTTGAAACAAACTCTGATACATTGCTTCTGTCAAGTTCTGGGTTGTCTTAATCATACTCATATTTATCAACTGCTGGACAAAGAGTTCCCCATGAACTCGAAACCTAAAAAATAATGACAAATTGTTAATGCGTCTTATTCTATAGCAAAGTATCCCTACAACCATGAATGCAACATTAAAATGGGACAATTTATTCTTAATCAAAGTGATCTGAAATCACTGATGGAAAGATTGGCGAAATTGTGTGTATAATTTCAATCATATATTACTTTACCATTTCAGTAATAGTGGACAAGAACAACTTGCTATAGCACTATTGCTTATTTGTTAGTTACATTACTGCAGATTTTAGGAAAGATCTGCAATTTTTCAGTGGATAGAATAGCTTGCACTAGCCACAAAGTCATATTTTTCTCTTACTGTTTATGACGTCTTTAAACTAAATCCATTGGATGTTGGATGTGTACTGATTGATAATTAAGTCATAGATGCATCATTTTTTTATTAGTTGTTATTGGCTTTGAACAAGTCATTAACTGCAAGTACTCTCAGATCTGTACTTAAGTGTCTTTTTGTTGTTGGGATGTACAATTACCTAGCCACGTCCACTCTGTGTTTTTGTTAGATGTATTTCTATTTGTATCCATCTGATGAGTTGAGCTTTTTTCAACTGATTTTTATAGTTTGTTCTTATGTTGTACCGTTAATGAACCATGACTGTAGGTACAGGGCTAAACAATCACCATGGAAATGAGATGTGCCAATGCTAATACAACTGCAAATCAAATACCATTGACTTTTCATAAGTCGTTCCCTTTAAACAAACCTGAACACAAACATTAACTTGTAAACTATGTCAAAGTTTCAAAGTCAATGAACCATAATTAGGGGGTGGGGTTATATAATCTCCATGGAAATGAAACTTACCGAATATCATTGACTTAACATTAGTGGTTCATCTTGAACTGACCTAATCACAAACCAATACATGTAAACTAAGCAAAAGTTTCAAAGTCAATAGACCATGACTGAGGGGTAAGGACCAAATATTCTCCATGGAAATGAGATGTGCTAATGCTTATACAACTGCATACCAATTAT